CACCTCCTTCAGGGCCAGCGGCTGGACCCGGTCGGTCACGATCGCACACAGCAGCTTCAGGTTCTGCTTCAGGACTCCGAGGGCTGGGATTATGCGGGGGGACACCGCGTACAGGCTGGCGTAGAGGAAGGGGTTGCAGTCGAGGAAGATGAGGCGGTAGGCCGCGACCTCCGAGACGTAGTGCGAGGCGGAGCGGAGGGCGGAGCGGCTGTGCTCGAAATATGAGCTGCCGAGCTGGCGGCGGTTGCCGAAGCGGGATTTGGGTGGGGTGATTTTGGGGGTGAGGGAGAGGGTCTTGTCGAGGGAGTGGATCTGGGAGAGGAGGTAGTGGAGGGTGTTGAGCCGTATGTAGAGGCGCTGGGTCCCGCGGCTGGTGGAGGGGCGCGCGGATGGTTGGCCGTTGGGGTTGGGGTCGACATGGATGCCGGCATTGCAGGCGGCTCGCCGCCAGAGCTTTAAGAACTTGGAGTCGCGGCCACAGCGTGTTAAGGGGGGAAGGGTCGGGAGGTAGCTCTGTTTTGATCCTGAAACGAAAAAGAAAATGATTGATTATGATCTAGTTTTCTTGGCGATGGTAAATTGAAAATGTTAGTCAGTTAGTAAACGAGCGGCTGGCACGTCTTATGAAGCCATTGGCAAGAATGATAAGGAACTTTTTGTATCTCCCTGAATGTGCATTGGGAGAAGCCTTATTAATTTATATTTGAGATCACATGAGACATGCTTGTCTTTAGGTCTGATTGGTGAAGAGATTATGTAGTCTTACCACATGATGCGACAAAGGTGATGTAGTCTCCAAAGAGGTGCTCCAGACCATCTGTGAGGTCGTAAACTAAATTCTCAGACACATTGACTGGGATTTCGAAGAAATTCTGCACAGCTTCCTTGGCAAACTTGACGAGTTCCGCAGCCGAATGAGCGTATGGCTCTGTTTTGGACTTGGGATTCCATGTCTGCAAATGGAAGAAAACAACTTAATACCCGTTTCACTGAATTACTAATTCTGTTATATGCATCAAAAAATTTCCTTACTTCTGTCTCTTTCACCCTCTGTAGATACTCCTTCCCCATCTTCAACCTCTCCTGAATCCACTGCTTCAGCATCTTGAGTATAATCGTGTCCACCTCGTACGGAACCATCTCCCGCACGACCGATTTGCCGCCATCCTCACACTCAACCGAGTCCTCCACCACCATTTGCACCAGGGCCTTCTCCAGCTTCCCTGCCCTCTGCAGCACCAAGATTGTCTCGTTCATGAGTGATGATGAAGAAGACATGCCCGTCAGGTACTGCTTTAGCAGAGTCCCATAGCAAGAGTGCAGAGTCACGGCGGCAACTCCGGCGGCCACCTGGTGCCATTTTTTCAGCAAAGGGCTAAAAATGTCCTTTTCTTTAGAGGCCAGCTCCTCTGTCTCGCGTGCGAGTTTTATCAACACCTCGCTCACTCTTTGGGTCTCCATGTTTTCAGTTTCTTTGACGTTTTGATCCTCGAGCATCTTGATATAGGCAACATGGATGACAACGATGAATGTTATTTCTTAGATTTATAATCGGGACAAATGGATACAACAAGGGACAGAAGAAAGAGTGCTGAGAGATAGTTTTGCAGCTTAAGCCTAAGTAACTATGAGAAAAATGTTGAAAACGCACAAATTTTCATTGATACTCCTCTTTTAAGGAAACTTGTAGAAATGTGACCCTACATTTGGTCGAAATAGTAGTCAGTATTTCTGTTATTAAAATGAAATCGACGTTTTGTTAGCACAAAGACAAAATGCCCGCATTTATGGAAATCTCTCTTTCCCGTTTTCTATTACCATGACAAAAATCAGAAAGGAACAACACACGAACCTTAGCGAACGTGTTCCTCGCAGACGAGCGGATGTAATAATCGATCCTATTCCCGCTCAAATCATCCCCATTGATAATACTACCCTCAGGTGATGTCACATAGCAAGGCACGTCCTCCCGCAATATCTTGGCACACGAGAACACCAGCGGAAGCATGTGCTCCATAATGCCCACATTCCCCCTCTCGAAATTCCCGTGATAGTCCAACAACCTCTTTTCCGACCACGCCTTCATGGCTGCCACCACAGAACCCAACATCCTCACATAAACGGGCTCTCTGTCAGCCCTCTTGGCATCGGCTGCTACCTCATGGGACAGCATCACAGCAGCTGCCCCAAGCAGGTCGGGCTCAGCTTGCCCTGTGCCCACGTACTGCTCAAAGAGCACCCACGCGAAGCACAGGTTGTGCACGGGCCGGCTGATCCCGAGCATGGACCACGTCTTCTTCATGAGCTCCATCAGCTCGTCCACCTCGTCAAGGACCTGTGTCTCGTCCTTGGAGTCGAAAACCGAGCGTAGTAGGGCATTGTAGATCTCGATGTTGAGCGGGTACCCATCGGCCCAGTGGCAGATGTCCGTGGGCCCACCATCCGGGGTGCGCCAGGACAGGGAGACCACGGCGTTACAGAGGGCGCGCATAGTCTCAGAGTTTTTTCCGGTGTCAACTGGGCGGGCCTCAGCGGCCCGGATGATCTGGTGGAGCCGGGCGGCGGAGGGGTCGGAAGCGTGGAGGGGGATGGAAGGGTGGAGGAGGAGGCCCGTCTCGAGGAGTTTGAGCTGGCGCAGCTGCCACTGGTGGTACTCTGTGGTGTCGTTGAACTCGGAAGGTTTTAGGTGGCGGAGTAGCTCCAGAGGAAGGATGATGGTCTCGGCTCGCCTGCCCATCTGATGTTCATATAATATCATAACAAAATATACATTCTCCTTTAATTTAAACAATAATTACAATTTGAGCAATATATCAATCAATTGTTTTATAATTAATTAATTTAATTTTATCTCCTCCTACAAATCCATGCATGCAATCAAACATAAATGACGATGACGTACTTGGCCGACGAGGGTCCTCATCAGCGTTTTCCTCAGCCTGTTGTCACTCTGCTCCGTCACCTCCATCTGCTGCCTCATGATCTCTGCTGACGTCAGCGGCCGCCTCATCCTCCCTGCCCCGGGCACTGTGTGCCCCCCTCCTGCCTTGGGGCTCGACGACTTGCCGGCCCCAACATTGTTGGACCCACACAAGCTGAACCGTCTCGATGGCTGCGGCCGCCTCAGCATTTTGAGCCCAAGGGCACGCTTCACCCGGCTTGTCACGGCCATCCCAACCCCGGGGGGCTTCATCCCTGAACCGAGGCCCGATCCGATCCCGTCCCCCTGTTCGTCCGACCCGTAGCACGCGGCCGCGGCCATCATGCTCCGGCCACCGAATCCCGGGGAAGAGCGGCAGGCCGTGAAGAAGACCTCGTATGCCGCCTCGCGGAAGTCATCGGGCCCGAGTCCATCGAGCTTGCCAAATGGCGAGGCGAGGTCATCGGCCGGGTTGTGGTTGGTGTTGGATATGCAGAGGTTATGGTGGGGGTGGGCCATCGTGGGTGTGGCGGAGGTGTCACTTTCCCGGCGGGAGGAAGAAAGAGATTTTTGTTGGGGAAGACAAACAACGTTATTATGCGTTGGTTATGGAGAGAGAGAGAGAGAGAGAGAGAGAGAGAGAGAGAGAGAGAGAGAGAGATGTTGATGGTTCCGTTATGTGTTTGGTATGTCAATTGGGGTGAAACGCGAAGAACACGACAAGGGAAAGGCTACAATCATCTTCAGCAAGATGCTTAATACAATTTTAATTTTTTTAATATATATTTTTTTTTTAATTATAATTCTGTTGTGAAAGATTTATATTGATGGTGGAGAACACGTTTTAATTTTGCTTAAACCACAGATTTTTCTATCTAAATGGATATATACCCAGGTTCTTAGGAATATACGTACGTGTCCCAGTTGGCTCTTACAGTTTATAGCAAGAAAATGCTCCACATAATCCGGACGTTAAGGCGAAAAGTCGAGCATGGATTACATCGCTAATTATATAACTACTCTTTTCTTTCTCACACCGATCCATCAAATAACTTCTTTTTTCCCAACATTTACGGAATATTATGCGATATTAAAATCGTACATCTAAATAAACAGCATAATTAATAGTTATGCGAGATTATGTCACATACACGTCAATATATATCTAAATTGAACGAATAGTTAACAATTATTCGAAACATTTTTGCATATTTTGTAATTATCTCATATCCAAATCCATCCAAAGTTTATGATACACCAAACAATTTCACATATTTAGTTATCACATAATATCCAAATTGAATGTCGCATATTTTATGACTTCAACATTTTTTTCGCATAGTTTACTACTCACATTTTCAAATCTTTAAGGTCATATAATTAATGATTATGCGTATTATGAACGCATATTCAATTTGAAAGTCGCATAATTTGTGACTATTTGCCCTTTTTTTGCATAATTACGTGGCGCATTGATTGACTTTTTTTTCACGTAAAATTAATTATACACGCAAGATGAGGATTTTTTTAATCAGAAATCTTATGAGTCATCACTTCTTCTTTTTTTTTCGGTCTGCATTTATTTTTCTTCATTCTGCCTATATTTATTTTCAATTTTTTTTTTCTTTTCGTTCAAACTTTTTAAGATCCCGTATCTATTGCAATTTTTTTTTTTCATTCTAATTCTTTTTGTTGAGCTTATTTGGCTCTTCTTTTTATTTCTTTTACAAATTTCACTTCAATGGTTAATAATCGCGTTAGAGTATACGTGCACTATGACGACACATTTTGTGAGCTTAAATTGGTGTGACAGAGCTGATGAGAATAAATTATGGTCAACAAAATGTATTCTGAGGTGGTTTCTGCTACTACTGTACTATCAAGAGAATTGACTGTAATTTTGAGTACATATTGTGGACAATATTTGGTTTAAGAGATCGAGTTATGAAGAGGAAAATTGAATCTAATGACGGTATCGAGGAGCTATTTCAAAAACAAAAGTCATCCCAACATTTATGTGGAGTTGGAGCAACGACTAAATGTAAGAATTTCAGGGATAGTACAACAATATTTCAAGCTAATGATGGCGGCCCATGGTGTATTTTTGAATTGTTTTGGTATTGGTAGTTCTACATTTTTCCACGAGACATCATATTCATATCAAACAGGCAACTTTTTTCATCCAGCAGGCCTAGTTCATTTACACATACTGGAGGAGACGCTGATTCATTTCCTCGGGGCAATGATGATCAAACCGCGGCTTATTCGGATGTAGACCCTGGGTTGGATGACAAATGTGATTGTTCGAACCAACCAGGTCATTCTCATGACGACGATGATGTGATGACCAAACTTACATGAACAATGATGATTTTGGCGGCAAAGTACCTGTTAGTGTATATACTGAAAGTTTGACTTTAAATGTTATTTACACTATTTTCAGTTGAATGAGAATCATGTTTAATTAAATAGGTCTATGTTGTGATGTTTTACAATTGGATAATTATAGTTCATAATAGATGGACAAAAGATCATATTATTGGTTAATTGTAAAACATAAATAATTGGTTCATAACCCAGATGGAATTGAACAACCAAGCGTGAATGGTTGTAGTGTAATTTGGATAGATTTGTCTTGACTAATGAATTGCACTAGTGCATCCCGAATGTCTTGAATAAATACCAGAGGAGAAATTCTATTTAACTAACTCAATAAACAAACGAGGCCTCGGTTAACTGTTGGGATCTGTGAGGATCTCGTTGTGTACAAATCACGAACTCAATATCAAACGTAAACCTATGCGCAACGGATCTAAAGGTTTGACGTAGAAAACTTACGGCTTAACATTTATGGCGATCTGACTGATCTTCAATTGAGTTGACCGGGATGAGCAGACGAACATGATTGGATCACGAACAGAATATCAGCCTCGCAATCGGATCGGGTCGCGTATGTGGGGTCGCCGGGCGGGTCGTCGGGCGTTGTCAGCGGATTGCATCGCGGCTGGTGGTCACCGCGGGGGTCGCGTCGGCGCGTCGCGGTCCCGGCTGGCTCGTCGTCCGTCCGGTTGGCTGGCGGTGTCGGCCGGAAGCTCAGGGTCGATGGTCGTCTGCTCCGGTTGATCACGGGGTTGATTAATATATGTATCTTAATAAACCACGTGATCTTCTACTCTATATCTCAAACACCCTCTTCAACTTGTACCAGTAGAGCAACAAGAAAAAAATAAAACTCGAATGGAAACTGAGAGAGAGAGAGAGAGAAAGAGAGAGAGAGAGAGAGAGAGAGAGAGGGATAGAGAGAGAGGGCGGCCGATTTGGTGTATTAGGAATAATGTTCCAACTCTTCTCTTCCCATGAGTTTAATGGTGTATATATAGAACTACAGTATGGACCCTTAGGAGATTAGGAATATGGCTCCTTAATTAATTAAAATACTTGTGGGCCAAACCCACAATTCTAATTAATTAAATAATATTATGGGTCACTAATATAATATTATTGCACTCTTTTTTCTAAGCCCAATTTACAATTGACACTCTAATAATAATTACTCGAATTATCTCCCTATGTTTAAGATATAATGTCCATTAATTAAATCGGTTACTGATGATCAAGAATTAATTAATTTATTATTATTTCACCAAAGCTAGCGCTCATTCATCACATTATTACTATGCTGGAATTTAATCCACCTACAGGGTTTAGCATTATAATCCTTCATGAACTCACTTCGGAGACATAATCAAACTAAACCTACATGGTGACCGTAAATATCCTAACAGCACATCATACATGCAGCAATATTACCCAAGACAGTAGGAATATTGATCCAGTTCACTAAACCTCACAATGTGAATCAAAATTATCTATACTGCATATATATGTCTATTTAATATCTTACGGGTTAAGAGAACGCAGTAATTAACCGAGGCTTAGTTCGTATACGACGATCAATATAAAACGAACTTCTCCTCTCTGGTATCCTGTTCAATACATAAATGTACTAGTGCAACTAATCAGTCAAGAAAAATTATACCGTTGACACTACAACTGTTCGAATGGAGTGTTCATGTCCATATAGGTTGTGAACCATAATTCTCGTTTCGCAAGTAACTGATAGAATGATCTTTAGTTCGCCGGATGACGACCCACACTATCTAATTGCAAAACAACAGAACATAGAACTTGTTTAATCTAACATATTTCTCTTTCATAAAGGATAAAAGTGTAATATCATCCAAAACCAAGCTTTCAGTATATAACACTAACATTAACAACTGCATACTCTTAACCCGTAAGATATATTCAGGCACGTGCATACAGTAACTGCTACTTTAATTCACTAAAAAGTTAGGTTCATTTCGTTGGATCAATAATCTAGGTGAGTTGGGTAATATTGTTGTGTGTAAGATGTGATGTGTGAATATTTACGGTGACCGTGTGCGTTAGTCTGATGATGTACTCGAAGTGAGCTCATGAAAGATTATTATGTTAATCCATGCATGCAGATTGAGTTTCGACTTATTAATTAAGATTTGAGTGGTATTAGCTTCGGATCAAGAAGACAATTAATTATGTTATCAATAATTAAATTAATTGACAGACATTATATCTTAAACACGAAGAGGTAATTCAAATAATTATAATTGGAGCTTCAAATGAACTTGGACGCTAAAGTGAGAGTGCGAATAATTATTTAATAGATTGAAATATTATTTAAGTATGAGCAGAGTGGTTTGGCCCACAATTAGGCCCATACTTGGGAAGTCTCTCCTTAGGGTCCATGTTGTAGTCTATAAATACACAACATTTCTAGGGAGTTCCACACGTACTACACGCCTAAACACACGAGAGCTTCATAAGCATACGACTTTGAGTTCTTGTGAGTTTGGAATCCCAATTGGGATTTCTCTGAGATCGTCGCCCACCAACACGATTGGATAAGGTGTTAGATCATACAACAAAAGATTTAAGGTAACGCAAGGCCAAGCACCACTGTACACAGCTCGATGCAACATTGAAGACCACCGTGCCTACAGGTATGCAACACCGTGTTGGGACCAGTTAGGATCTCGAAATTATGCAAGTCACAGACTATCTACGAATTAAACCCTAAGCGAAGCAGAACTAAAAGAGCGGGTTCAACGCATGTCGTTTTTAATTTTGTCAACTCTGAGACGTTTCTGATTTCCATTATAGAATATCGTCTGAGTCTCATGTCCGTTGGGCAGCCGGACTAGCTTTGCCACCAACGTTACATCATTCATTGTCCATGTCAGATCATCCCGAACCTCTGTTGACTTGGTCAAACCTCTTGGGACTCGACTTCGACAGCAACCGGGTGCTGGAGCCTTGCTGAACCGGTCTGGACTGCATTTGGGCTGAATCGGACCGCTGGGCGCGAGCTGGGCCTGGTCTAGTCACGTCTGGGCCGCTGTCGGGCTGTACTGGGCCACTGGAAGTCGTATGAGCCGCGCATTGGGCCGCTGGGGACGTGCGGGCCTTGAACTAGTCTG